GTAGCTCACATGATCAGAGTGGGGCTACTGAAGGAGTGGGCACAGGGGGGCAGAAGGGCTGGTGGAGGGGGGTAGGTCGCAGGAGGGCTGAGGGGAGTGAGAAGGGTAGGAGTCAGGACAGCAGAGGAGGGTGAGGGGTTGGGGGTCAGCAGGCACCAGGGGAGCTGATGGAGTAAGGAGAGGAGACATGGCAGCACAGGGAAAAGGTAGAGGTTTATAAGATATTTATTAATAACTTGGATGCCACAGTGGCACATCCAAACAAGCCACATGAACTCAGTACAGGTGCACAACACAAAATTCATTCTGCTCATGGGAGGAAACTCTTAGAGGGAACACTTCCCCCAGCCTCTCCACCCCCGAGTTAATGTCACACACATTGGGGTAATGCAATTGCAGGATAGTTGCATGAGGGAGGCTTGGTGGGGGCCAGACTAATCCCTATTGGTAGGAGGATGGTGGGAAAAATCCTTAGAGAGGGGTCACATGATACCTTTTACTTCTGGTAATGTGTCCATCTGCCCCGAGAGTGTTACCTCCAGAGGCCTGGCTAATGGGAGCCAAGGTGTGTGGGTAATGGGGGTCAGAGGTGTGGCTAATGGGGGGGTCAAACAGTAAATTAAAAAAAATTCTTTGTTGTGAAAAGTGGGTCGTTCTCAACCCATTTCCTGGGCCTATTTTGATTGCCAGTCCATCTCTGGCGGTAACTATAACTGTGGGCAGTCTCTCTGTTAACCATCCCTGACCAGGAAGCAAGCAGGCCTGCTTGGGCAGCCTGCTTCTGCTGGGAATAACATAGTGATGGCAGGAAACTATCCTGGAGATCCAGGTTCAAAAGGAAAGAGAACTGGATCTCAATGACAGTGAGCGAAGGCAGAAGCTTGAGATTGCATGTCCTTGCTGGACCATAGAAGGTGAATATAGGAGCAGCTGCCCTGAACTGTGACAGCAATGGGATATATTTTTTTTGTTAGAAAACCTGCAAGACTGGTAAAGGGGTGTGTGCTGTTGTTACTAATTCTGGTTGGCCATGCCCCTGCATTCATTAGGATTTTTGCTATCCCTAAACAATGGGAAGGCATGCTCTGTTAGTTCTACTCACTCCCTTATGTGCGTACTGGCTCTGTAGGCTCTATATCTGTGCTTATTTACTGCCCTCTGCTGCATGAGGCAGTGGAGAACTGCAGCTCCTAGGCTGCTGGAGGAATGATCTCACGGCTCAAAGTTTCAGCCCATGGTCTCCTGAACTTAATTAAGAGGCAAGTTTTTTCTTCTCATTTCTTTTGTCCTATCACTAGCCATTCTTCTAGTTACGTGTATGTGTGTTTTTAAGGACCCATGATGCTGAATAGACAGTAGCTGGCATCATACCTGCCTCTGTTTGTTTTGTTTTTTTGGAGGCAGGAGCACAAGTACTTGTTAGGGTAAATCTTACTCAGTTTTAGAGGAAGGGGGGTACAAAGTTGACTGGGTTACCCATCATTATTTTGATGGTCCCGAGGCTAGTTAGATGGCTTGGATGTTTCTATAGCCTCTCAGCTGTAATTGTAACACACAGACATAATTACATCAAGTTCCAATTCAGTTATTTGTTTTCAATAGCAGCTACTTTGGCACAGTGCACCGTCCAACAGATGGTTTCATTTGTTTCTAATCTCATGAGCCAACCGAAGTCAGCTGTGGTGCTGTATTTCTTTTCAAAGTCATATCTGTGTTGAGTCAGCCAAGCTGTCAGGCTTAATGGCCTTGCTCTGAAAAGCAAGTCTTCCCCTTTTTTTAAAGCCTCCAAAATCTACAAAGAAATAATTTTATTCAATTACATTCAACTACTGTCAGGCATTCAAAATGCAGATTAGATACATGCTTCGTCTCCGGATAACAATGGTGGGTTAGCCTGAATGCCAAGGAAGCAGCCTGTACAACCTACTTTATTTGAAGAAACTATCTTGGCTGGGCATGTAAGTGTTACTTGTAGAATAGAAAGCCATACATACATTTTGATAGTTCCATTGTGTTCCATAGTATGCTCAACTCCTGCTGTATAGCTTTCTCATGCAGCGCGTGATTCTCAAACTGGCAAAAGATGCTGTAATAAGCAATTTTGGGGGAAAGGCAGGGGAGAACTGGAAAAACCTCAGCTTGTTAAACTTTCTCTTTCTTTCCAGAATCAGATCAATAATATGGACAGAACATTTTAAAACTGTATTGGAGGTTGGATAGGTAATGAAGGGATTCCACTAAGTGATTTATGGAGAAATAAGGAGCAAGTTTAATAAACTCTTCATCTACACATTTACATAAAAACACCAAGAAAATGGTAGCACCAAGTGATAAAATTTTAGAATCTCAGCATTGTGCATCTGGGTGTTTTTTGCAGGCCTCCTTTAAGATGTTCACATAATTATATTGCTACTCTTTGTTTTTGGGGCCCATGTCTGTTCTCACTGCAGCCAATAGAAAAACTCCCTTTTGGCTTCAGTGGGATCAAAATTAGGGTCTTGCATATCGCAAATAACTACAATACTTTGGCTCAGAGCCAAATTGGCTCCTGTTTACTTGGGGGAATTGAGATGCAAATGTTTGTCTAAAACATGAATTTTCTGAGTATGTTAAGTACAGGCAGTCTCCGGGTTATGTACAAGTTAGGGACTGTAGGTTTGTTCTTAAGTTGAATTTGTATGTAAGTTGGAACTGGTACATATTGTAGGGGAAACTCTAGTCAAACATTTCTCCAAAGCTCAGTCTTATTTCTCCCACACCTCACTTCCCTCAGTCCTTTATTCTCAAGCTGAGGTGTCTGCTGAGAAAAGCCGCTCCGCGTCTCCCTGGGTTGCTGGGGGGAGGGGGGGGCGCTAGCTTTGCGTCTCCCTGGTCTGCTGGGGGAAAGCAGCTAGTGCAGGGTTGCCTCACCCCGTTTGTAAGTAGGGATCCGATGTAAGTCAGATCCATGTAACCCGGGGACTGCCTGTAATTATCTTACAACTTTAGAAATTCAGCATCCGTTCTCAAATATATCTTGTTTCCCTCATTTTGCAAATACAATACTTTCTATATTATGTGTATTGTAAATAGAAAATGTTTAATAGAAATCAAATATTCTGCCATCAAAATAAAATACGCTTTCTCCATTTTTAAAAGGTACTCAGGGACTGGTGCATCTTCCAAGAATGGCATGGTCCTCATGGAGGTTGGCTTACTTAGTGGCTTCTCTGTATCACCAGATTTCTTTTCATTCAATGATCCAGTTAAGAAAGTGGAAAAGGACAATGGGAAAGTCAACCTATACTTAGACTCTGTAAGTTGAAAAAAATAAGAAAATGCATTTGTAATGGCAGCTGCTAAATTTAACTCACCCGCTATTTCAGGGGTGTGCAGGTCAGATCTGGCCCTCGGCTGCCTCACCAGTACCCTTATTACACAATAGATGCAGCTGCTTTAAACAGCAGGCTGCTAATTGCTATGTAGTCTAGGCAGGGAGAAGAAAGCTTTGCTCACCGTCCCTGCCTCCTAGCAAAAACCTCCATCTCCCATTGGCCAGTTTCTGGCCAATAGGAGCTGAGAAATTTTGGTGAAGGCAGGATCAGTGAATGAAGCCTCTTCAACCCTCCTCTCCCTCCCTGCACTGGAGCAGAGCCATGTGGAGCAGCTGCCCAACACACAGGAAAGGAGTCTGCAGAGCTGTTGGCTGGGAGCCGCCTAGGTAAGTGCCTCCCAGCCAGAGCCTGCCTCTGGCACCCCACCCGCTCTCTTGCCCCAACTGCCTGCCCCAGGCCACCACCCAAGCCCTCTGTATCCCCTATGCCCACCTCTTCCAGGTCACAACTCCCTCTCAGACCTTTCACCTCTCATACCAGAATCCTTTCCTGCACCCTTACCCCTCCCTGATCCTGCACCCCATTTCCCTGCCCCACATCATTACCCAAACTCTCTGCAGCCCTTCCCCCTGGTCACAACTCCCTTCCAGACCCTGCACCCCCTCTCACACCCTTCCCCAGACCCACACTTCCTCCTGCACCCCAGTCCTCTATTGTAAGCACCCTTCTACACCTCACCCACTATCCCAGACCCCGCGCCCCCTCCACAGAAATGCAGCCATTGACCACTTACCAAAATTTTGGAGTGGCCCCCCGAATAAAATTTATTTCCCACTCCTGCACTATTTGATTTCAGTACAGAAGGACAACTTTATAAAAAACACAATTACATCTTTTGGGGAGTAAATGTGGCTAAACCATGATTCGCAGGACATGAGTTTTTCCACTATTGTCAATGGAACAGTATGTGTAGGTAAAGACTATTTAGCTCAGTGTGTGTTTGCTGGATTGAGCCCTTAGTAAAATGTTTTCTTACTTCCATGGTCTGTGATTTCACTATATTTCCACTAAAGAGATCTTTAGAGTTGAGTTTTTAGTTTTAGTTTTTTATTACCCATCCTTTCCCTCACACCACCCTTTCTAGAATTCTCTGAAATGTTTCTCTTGTATTTTCCTTGCTAAATGAAAGAGACTTCAAAGTAGCAAATACTCAAGACGCCTCCGTGACTATCATGGATTACTATGAACCCAGTAAGTGTCAGTCATTCTTGATAGATCATGGTGATTCACAAGCTAAAATATGCAATTATTGTATTCATAGAAGTAAACAGAGAAAATATGTAGATCAAGAAAAAACACTAGATACTTTACAAATGCCATAGGTTACTGTCCAGTAATCTGAAACGTGCCAAGAGTTACAATGAATTACTGTTATCTCTTTCAGTCTTAGTGGAGCAGTTCTCAGCTGGTGTGGATCAGCATAACTCCACTGAAGTCAATTTATACTAGCTGAGAACTTGCTCTAGTGTTACTAAGACTACCGAAATGAAGTATGAACTCTGGTGTGGTTCAAGTTAATGGCTATCTTTTAGGTGGCCCTTCCATCTCTTTCTTATGGTCTTAACTTGGCAATCCTTAGAAAAGAGGGTGCCAGTATTTTGAGTTCCAAAGTTATGTGAAAAAGATGTATGTGCAGAAATATTTCCCAGGTTCTGTTTTTAGGTGTGGTATGTGTTTTGAAGAAATTCAGCAATGTACAAAGCTCTTGGATAAAGTGGGAGGCGATGGGGAGTCATGTGGAGAGGTTAAGAAGGTGCAGAGAAAATGGAAGAGGACTGGGTTCTCCTGAAACGAACTGACCAAAATTTTAATGAAGATTTGAGTTTGGTTTAAGGAATGGATGAAAGGGTTGTACCACTTATTTTATCCAGCTTTGATTGTGCATCCCTTAGCATGACAGAGAAAATTCATATATTCCTAGTAGAATGCTGTTTTACAAAGTACTCTGTCCGGATGGAGATAATTCATTCATTCTATGTAAAATAAATATAATAAAATCCTAGTGACCGGAATTAAAAGGAGGTAGAAGTAATTAATTTATTCTGTGAGGTCATGTCTGTGAGTTAATGTTCCCTCTAATTTTTTTCCATGCATGTGCAAAATAACTTTTTGCAGTGAGACATGTGTGGATGTGTATCACCAATAGAAACGTGTTATTAGCTGTGAGCAACTGTGGGCAATCTGCTCATCTGCTGGACAGTATTTGAATCTCTCCTGGGTAGTAAACAGCTTACAGGAAACACTTCTGTAAATCTAAAGAGTGTTCACACCCTAAGGTGTTAGTTAACACACTGTAAAAATTTGTAGGTGATGTAAATATGTAATAGCTGGAATCTGTGGGCCAACTCCTATAGTTCTTATTTTGGTGAAATTTCCAGGACTGACTGGGTTCTGTAGGATTTAGCTTTTTATATATAACCCTGATGATGAACTAATCTCCAGAAATGACCGAGTGAATATTTGATACTTTTGAATTTACAGTGTATAAATAAATCATAGGCTTATGAAAATGTAGGGCTGAAAGAGAACTCAAGAGGACATCAAGTTCACTTCCCCATCTATACAGGGGAAGGATTAAGCATGTCTAGACATCCCTGAAAGGTGTCTGGCTAACCCAGGGATGGGCAACCAAGGCTAGTGAGTGGGATACATGAGTGGTCCTCCTTTGTCTTAGTGGACCACAAGATTGAAATCAGTCATGTGCACTAATCATGACCCCAAGAATAAGATTAAATACATTAATACATGGCATGCTGAATATTTTAAAACAAGTAGAAATGCTGTAATCCTTCATACATTAATAGAACTGTCATCAACTTCAAATAAAAAAGAAAGAGTTATACTTACTTTACAATTTCAAATTCCTTCCTGGCCTCTTCCCCGCCTCCTCTCCCAAGTGCATCCAATCTCTGCTCCTCCCCCTTCCTCCCAGCACTTCTGGAGCACTGTGAAATGCCCTATCCTTGCTCCTTCCCCTTCCTATCAGAGCGCATCCAAGCTCTGGGGAAAAAAAGGGAGAATCAGGGATGAGGGCTGAATCAGCCGATTCATGGTGCTCTAGAAGTGCTAAGAGGAAGGAGGAAGAGTAGGTGAGTGTGGTGAAAGAGAGTAGGGGAGGGGGTGCACGAACCACACTTGGCATCCCGGTGGGTTGCAGGTTGCTCATCACTGGTCTAACCTGTCCTTATAACAGTATAAACCCCTCCAATAACAGTGACTCAAAAACCTCCTTAGGTAACTTGTTCCAGTGATAAACTAGCCCTATAGTTCGAAAGTTGTCCTTAATATCTACCTGATATACTAAGCTGATTACTTCTTGTTCTACCCTTAGGGAACATAGAGCACCATTGATTGCCATTTTCTTTATAACAACCTTCTGCATTTGGCTACTGTTATGTCCATCTCAGCTTTCTCTTCTACAATTCTTTCATGACATTTCTTTCAACTTTTCTGCATAGGTCGGATATTCTAACAATATTATGATTTTTGTTGCTCTCCTCTGGACTCTCACCTGTTTGTTCACATCTTCCTTAAAGTATGGGTGCCTGAACCGGACTGAGGACTCACCATTTCTCAGTGGAACAGTAATCTTCTGTTGCTCACTCCTGTTAATATGTCCCAGAAAGACATTAGCCTTTTTTGCACAGCATCACACATTTGACACATACTCAATTTATGATACACTATTACCTCCATATTCTTTTCAGCAGTTCTGTCTAGCCCAGTGGTTCTCAAATTTTTTGGCCTGTAGCCCCCTGGCTCAATGCAAACCTTTCGGTGGATCACCAGTTGCTAATGGAAACTCACTGTTAATTTCATAATTATACCCAAGCCATTTTGCTAATGCTGCAGTTAGGGAGAATGGTTTAATTTAACCAGTAAGAAGGAAATATTAATTTAAATTATTAAACAGACTAAGCCAGGAAAGGGCAATACTTTTTAATGGGATGCCACTCCAAGATTTTGGTAAGTGGTCAAGGGTCGCACTTCCTTGGAGGGGCTGTGGGGTCTTCGACGGCAGGTGGGGTACAGAAGGGAGCTTGGGATAGAAGACTGGGGTGCAGGACGAAGTGTGGGGTCTGAGAGGGCGTTTGGGTGCAAGAGGGGGTTATGATCTGGGGCAGGGTAATGGAGTGCAGGGTCAGGGAGGGATATGTGTGCAGGAAAGGATTCTGGCCTGGGGAGGAGTATAGGATGGAGTGCAAGGTCTGGGAGGGAGCTGTGACCTGGAGGAAATAGGAAGAGGGGATAGATACAGAGGGCTTGGGTGATGGCCTGGGGCAAGTACTTCGCGGGAAAGCTAGAGGTAGGCTCGGGATGGGAGGCACTTACTTCGACAGCTCCTAGCCAGCAGCTCTACAGGAACCTGAGCCTCCCTTCCTGTGTGCTGGGGCCGGCTGCTCCACGAGCAACGAGGCAGTAGGGAGGGAGAGAGGGGTAAGTGAGGAAGTGAGAAGGCTTCTTTCGCTGCCCCTGCCATCAGCAAAATTTCTCATCTCCTATTGGTCTGAAACTGACCAATGGGAGCTGAGGGATTTTGCTAGGGGGTGGGGAAAGCATGTGAACCTTTCTCCTCCCTGCCCAGACTGCATAGCAATTTTCAGCCTGCTGTTTAAAACGGCTGCAGCTGCTCTTCAGTAATGGTGCCGGCAAAGTGGCCTTGGGCCAGCTCTGACGGCTAGGTGGCCTGGATTCGGCCTGCTAGCCACCTCTTGTCCACCCCTGGACTAAGCGCTTTAACTTTCTCATGTTAGTTTATCAAACTTCATTTTAAATAAGGCTAAATATTAATTTATGTCCAACACAAAAGGTTCCCATGTTTTCTTTATTAATGGCAGGGGGGAAACCTTTTTTGGGACGGGGGTCTCTCATTCACAAATGAAAATAAAAAAAACCCAAAAAACAAAACAAACAACCCCCCACTGAGACAGCTGAGACTCTTCTGGCCCTCCAGCCCCACTGGGGAAAGGAGAGGGACAGGGAGGACTGGGTTCAAGGCTTCCCATAGGCCAGATTTACTATTCTGGGGTTCCAGGGTTAGTGGATTTGTGGACCTCCCTAGGCTCTGGAGTTAGGACAAAAATGGGGGGGTCAGTTTGCAGGATGGCTGCCAGTAGGAGGAATGGGGGTGAAGGATCTGGGCAGGAAGTGGGGTGTAGGAGGGGGTGTGGGTGCAAGGTCTGGATGGTAGGTAGGGTGCAGGATCAGGCTGAAGGTAGGCTGTCTGGTCAGGGTACAGGATCAGGCTGGGGGTAAAGTGTCTGGCCAGGAGGGAGGGTGCACGAGCAGGCTGGGGGTGAGGGTCTTGTCGGAGGGGTTGCATGAGGGGGCCTGGTGTATGGGGGTCTGGGCAGAAAAGGGATGGGGGCACTTGCTTTTGCACCCTTCACTTCTGGCCAATGGGAGAAGTGGAGAAAGTCTTCAGGCAGTACACCCACGTGATGCTCTTCCCCCAGATGGGGGAGGAAGAAAACTTCTTCCCCATGAGCCAGATCATGCAGCGAGATTCGGGTCTTTCTTCCCTCCCCCAAGTGGGAAGCCAATGCTGGTGCTCCAACCTTCTGGAGGAGAGGGGAAGGAGAGCGAGCCTGGAGCACCAGTGCAGGTTCCCCACTGTAGGGGGAAGGAGAGGGCTGCACTCGAGCCATCAGGAACTAGAAGATGATGGTGGAGCACTAGGGGTCTCTGGACCATAGTTTGAGAACCACTGGTCTAGCTAATTAGTCCTCAGTTTAAATATCTGCATTTGATTTGTGATAGAGATGCAGTCATGTTAGTCTGGTCTAGCTGAAATAAAAGACAGGACTATAGAGCACTTTAAAGACTAACAAGATGGTTAATTAGGTGATGAGCTTTCATGGGTCAGACCCACTTCCTAAATACAGCACTTTGCACTTGTATTAACTGATTTCAGATCAGTTCTGTGAATTATGAAGATCATTTTGAATTCTAATCCTTTTCTCTTCTGGGCTTGCAGCCCCTTCCCAAACTTTATAAGCATACTCTCCATTTTGTCTTCCAAAGTGCTAATGGAAATATTGCAAGGCAGAGCCCTGTGGGACCCACTTGATATGACTTCTCAATTTGACAGCATAACACTGATAATGGCTCTTTGAGTATGGTCTTTCAGCTAGCTGTGCATCCACCTCACGTGATTTCATCTGCCCCATGTTTTCCTCCCTTACTTATATGAATATCATGTGGGAAAGTGTCAAAAACTACCCCCCCCAAAAAATGTATCATAGCTGCTGCTGCCCTCCTATCCACTAGGCTGGTTACCCAGTCAAAGAAGGAAATTAGATTGGTTTGCCATGATTTGTTCTTGACAAATCCACACTGGCTAGTCTCTATATTTGAACAGTGATTGTTTAACAGTGCATCACTCAGAGCTGTAAAAAATGAAAGTGTAATGTTCAGTTACATCTTCTAATACCAGATAAAAATGGCAATATAAATCACAAATATCTCACAGTTTTAACTCTAAATAAAGAAAAAGATTGCTTCACATATTATTTCACAAGCAGGCCATTCCGAATTTCATGCAAGATGGCCAATATAAGAATTTTTCCAATGCATGTGATGATAGTCAAAGTTTATTAGGTATCACAGGCAAGGAGTTTTGTGACTCTTTCCTCGTGCTGTGTTAATAAACAGTGTTCAATCCTATATGACATATGCCAGGAGCTGCAGTGCATTCAGTGCTCTGGAATTTTCTGGCATCGCCCATTGTTGCGAGAGAAAAAAGTTGGATGTGCATGTTAGTTGTAGGAGTCTTGTCTAATCTGATAAACTGTCTTTATGCCCAGGCTCTGATGAGAAGTTTGGAGAGGCCTTATCTCCTGGCTGTCTCAAGCAGTGTTTTAGCTACAGATAGACATGAAACTACATTTCCTTTCTGCAAATAAAACATTTTTTTTGAGGCTTTGGAAAATACAAACCTTTGACATGTCCCGCAGCATGTCATTTCAGAACTACTGAAATGGTTCCACAACAGGTATGCGTTGCTATCTCCAAAACCAAAAGGTGCTCCTTTGGCTTCCTGGGAGCCTGAGAAACCTGGCTCTGGTGGGCTATAGAGGAGTTTGGGAGCCCTGACTCCTAAGCTTACCAGCAGTAGAGCTGTTAAGGAGTCAGAGAGCTTGGGAGCTGGAGTACTAGGGGTACTTGCAGGCTTCTGCTTGAGAGCTCTCTAGACTGCTGGATGGGTTACCAGGGAGACAAAAGGGTGAGCTGGCAAGAAACCTGTCTAGAAGTTAACATGAATTGGCTAGGGATGTTTTATATTGGTTAATTGAATAGTCGAGTAACCTCATGAATTCTTATAATCAGAGCTCGACAATTAATGTAATCTACTCGCCCGTGGTGAATAGATTACAAGCCGGCACAGCCGCGCAATGCGGTCAGCGCATGTGCAGCGCAGTCTGCGCACGCGCAGCGTGCCAAATCACATGGCTGGCGAGTGGGCTCGCTGCGGCTTGGCAAGCCCTGCTTATCATGAATTCTAACCTGATGAATTCTTATCTGTAGCCCCGGGGGCAGGGCCGGTAGGCAGTGTAGTCCAGCTTCACTCTTGGGGAGCCCCCTGCCACTCGCTGCTGCCTCTGATACAGAGGCAGCAGCACAAAGTGCCAGGCTGGAGCGGGTCCGGGAGGGGAGCCAGTTTAAAAGAGGCAAAGATTCATTTCTAAATCTGAGCAAACATGAAGAATTTTTTGCAATGTTTGCCACTGTCTGCATTAGTGTTTGGTTGCATCCCTTCAAAAATGCTTTCTCTATGAAGTTAAATGATCTTTTTTCTATTATTGTTTGTAGCGGCAGTATACAGCTGTAAGTTATTATTTTTTCTGAAGCACTGGCCAACTGCTGTTGATGGATTGAAACCATTGCTTTCCTCTTGCATGCTAGATTCCACTAGAAGTCATAGCATTTCAGTGGCTTGGTTCATCCCAAATATTTATTTTAAGAAAGAAACATGAACAAAATATCTCAAACTTCTGTGAAAATGCAGACTAAATATTTATTTGTTTGACATGATTCTCATTACGATCAGAAGCTGATGCTTACTAATTTATTTGGACAGGAAGAAGAGCAGTGAGAAGCTATAATTCAGAAGTGATGCAAGGCTTATCATCTTGTGCCTTCTGTGAAAATGACTGCAATCTTTGCAAAAGAGATACAGATTCCAATGACAGCTCTCCAGGATTGCATCAGCATTCTTCAATGATTTCTCTGTTTTGCTTATTGTTTGTAACCCAGGCAGGTTTGCTGCAGAGTTGGATTGTGTAAGAAGACAAATGTTTATATAGCACTTCTGAGATTTCCATAAATCACCCAAAGAAAGTGTTATATTCAGCAGGGCTGAATTGCAGAAGCATGAGATATCAGTGACTAACTGGCCTCCCATTGTGTTCTTTGGGAGCTGGATCGGGCCCATATGCAAACTCTGTTTCAGAAAACATTTTTTGTGTTTCTACTGGACACGTTTAACAACTTCTTAAATGCTTTTATCATGCTATAGTTATTTACATTTTTAAAAGAAATACAGAATTAGATTGAGAAAACAAGGCTAATTTTATTTTCCAAAGGTTCTTTTTCCTTTTTCAAGATTATTTTTGTTTTACTCACTGTTTATGGATTGGTGTTAAAAATTAAAGAATCTTAGGTTATGGAATTATTTTGGAAAATTATCTATCCCTTGATTTGATTTTTAGTAAGCATAACTGTAGGTTTGTATCATTACCCTGCTCAGTTCTGTTCTGCATACCTAAGGATACTTCATGTTAATACTAAACTCTATTGTACACATTCATGATTGCACAATAGGAAAAGTTGATGCAGCTATCTATAAAGCTGTTATGGAAGCCAGAAAGTGATGCATTCACAAATGGCTGATAATAATAATAATAATAATAATAAAAAAAACCACCCACATCTTTTTACCATTACAAAGAAGTCAGTTCCTGGCAGTTTTTAAGTTACATGCTTTTTAAAAGTAATCTGTTCAGAAGTTTCAGAAATGTTTAATACTCCTTACATTGAAAGATGGCTTTGACTCTCACAGTGAAATTTGGCAAGCAGAGACTCCATCCCTGGGACTTTATTTCTGAATATCCTAAAAATAATACTAAATACAATTTTCCTCTGCATAGTGAATGCTATAGCTGTTGAACTCTGGAAATTGGCAAGCAAATGTGATTGATACTCAAATGCCAACTGGCAAACCTGTGACCAGTGGCAGGAATCCAGGATCAAAGTTGGCTTGACCCAGTTCTGGTGTCCTTGAGTCTTATAGAAATGCCACTCTGGAGGACCTGTGTTATAGGAAACATTGTTGGACTGAACATGGGTGCTCAGGGCTGTGTTCTTTATGTTAATGATACTGGTGACCTTAGTCAGCAGCGACTATGCACTGAGACTGCTGCTGCAATTTTAGGATCTGATCCTGCAAACCATAACTCCCCTTATTGATTGAAGGAAAAGCCTGTAGGAATAGATTAAGTGGAATGTGTGTAAGCCTAACTTTAAACATATAAACACATGCTTCAGTGCTTTACCAGATTGGGACTCCAGGGAGGGAGGGTAGGGACTCCTTATTTCAGATTACAGACATGCATTGTGGCTTAAAACAATATACATCATACTCTTTCAAAGTTCTGCCAGAGTTGGACAGTAGGATCAGAAACTTGCTGCTTTTACAGTAACCACAAGTACCTGTTTGCTGAATAACTATGCTCCCACGCCATCCTTACCAAAACTGCCCAGAGTATTTAATCTGTGTTTTTTAAGCAACCAAAATTATAATTTAGTGTAAATATAGAGCAGAGGTGGGCAATACTTTTTTATGTAGGGGCACTCCAAGATTTTGGAAAATGGTCAAGGGCCACACTTTTCTGTGGAAGGGGTGCGGGATCTGAGATGGAGGTTGGGTGCAGAAGGGAGCTTGAGATAGGAGTTTAGGTGAAGAAAGGGGCTGTGACCTGGGCCAGGGGTTGGGGTGCAGGGTCTGGGAGGGAGTAGGGGTGCAGTGAATTTTGACCTGGGGGAAGGGTGTAGCAGGGATTGCAGGGGTGTGTGTGTGTGTGTGTGTGTATGTGTGTGTGTATGTGTGTGTGTGTGTGTGTGTGTGTGTGTGTGTGTGTGTGTGTGTGTGTGTGTGTGTGGAATTGTCTCCTGGGGGAGATGTGTGTGCAGAGGATTTTGGTGGTGACCTGGGACAGGGAGCTGGAAAGTGCGAGGGGCTGGGGTGCCGTAGGCAGGCTCTGGCTGGGCATCACTTACCTTAGGTAGAGCCCAGCCAGCTGCTCAATAGGGTCCCCAAGGCAGGCTCCCTCCTGCAGCAGCCCCAGCCACATGGGTTCCCTCTGTGTGGAACTCAGGGCCACTCATCCCTGGGAGGTAAGGGGATGAGAGAGTTTGTGTGCTCCCATGATCACACCTGCGAGTGGGACCTCAGGGTGGGGGAGCATGCAAACTCTCTTGCCCCCTGCCAAGGTTGCACAGGGCCTAAAGGGAACCACCAGCTGTTTTGTACAGCTGGCAGCTCTCTCCATGCGCTGCATGCCCCTGAGGGGAAAGGAGAGGAGAAAGGAGACTGCGCGCTCCCCCGCCCCCAGATAAATCATCACAGCTGTAGGTAGGGGGAGCACGCAAACTCTCTCACCCCTGCCAGGGTTCTGTGGAGCCTAGAGGGAATCACCAGCTGTTTTGAACAGCTGGTGGCTCTCTGTATGTGTTGGGCACCCCTGGCAGGGAGAGGACACTTCGCACTCTCTCCTGCCTGCAGGCCAATTGGAGCCTGGGGGCAGAGGAGCACACAAAGTCTCTTGCTCCCTGTTTCCCCTCTAGGTGCCACATGCTCCTGGCGGAGGGGAGCTGCCATTTTGAATAGCCTTGGGGTCTTGGCAGGGCAGGCTGGATCAAACAGCTCGGTGGGCCAGATCCAGCCTGCAAGCTATATCATGCCCACCCCTGGTTAGGGATGTAATAGTCTCGTTGATTAACCAATAAGCAAACACTTATAGGTTAATGCTGTAGAGTACACCCATTCCTCCCCTCTGGCAGTAATTTTTTTAGCAGGCTGGCCAACAGCATGTCTCAGTCCCAGCTTGTGCCGGGTCTAGAACCTACCCCCGCTGCAGCTCTGCATTTAAAGTGTATTAGGAGCCAGGTAGGCAGGCAGCCTGGCTCAGTTCCAGTTTGCACCAGGTCCAGAACTGCACCTCCGGACAAGGGCTGCTGCAGTGTGGAGTTGTAGGCAGCTGGTCCGTGAGGGGAGTAGTTTTTTAAAGGTAGAGCAGCAGCAATACGGGATGGCAGGGGGTTCCTGGGGACTATAGAATAGTCGACTAACTGATAAGAATTCATGCGGTTAATCGACTATTCAATTAACCAATGTTTATCATCCCTTCCCCGGTACAAAGGGGTATAAGGATTTGTTGCCTGCTGAGAGTTTCTTTTCTTTTGTGTTTAAATCAAAATGTAGCTCAGGAATATTACAAAAAACTCCAAACAAACATACATACGTGTGTGTGTGTGTGTGTGTGTGTGAGAGTGAGAGAGAGAGAGAGAGAGAGAGAGAGAGAGAATTAATTTTAAAAATATTATTAATGAATATAAGATCTCATTTTGGGTCTGATCCAAAACACCATTATAGTCAGTATAATCTTCATCTGTATTTTGATGTGAGTTGTATCCAGCTCACTGAGTAGTTTAATAGTACTTTATTCTGAGCTAGAATATTTGTAACTTACCCTTGTATCTTACCCTTTGAAATCAATGAGGCTTCTTCTATATGCAGTACCATGCTCCTGAATAAAGGTCTGGAATATGCCAACAATTAATAGAAAACCAAGGCCACACATTTGTAAAATAAATATTCCTCCTCCTCCTGAGTCTATCAACTTAGCTTATCCATCAGCTCTTTGGTCCCAGGTATAGAACATGGGCAGTCACAGATAGTGTATTCTTTGGATGCCATTTTTCACTTTGTATCAGAAGGCACTGACTCATTGGTGAACTTATAGAACATTTCTTTCACCTTACACTCTAGTTCTGGTGGGCTGCCATCGGGACTGTTGACATGTCACGTTCCTCAGATTTATTCTAAATTTCCAGAACACAGAGGCTACTTTTGGCTTGTACTGTACATAAAGCTATCAAGAAGGAAATTGACATGAGGTTTTATTGTGATAAAGAGGCTTGTTTTCCAGTGGAAATATACGGGAGATAAACTACTACTTTCTGTCAGTGGTGAAAAAAAAAAAAACCTTGAATTTTTTGTGACTACTCCTAGCTTCCCAAATACTCTCCAGAAACACAGGTTCAGTTTGCTTTTGTCTGACTTTTTGTAGCTTTGTTTTTCAGAAACAACACAAATTTTAAAGAGTTCTTAGCTGTGTAAAGACCAACACTAAGATACATCACCCATGCTGCATTCTTTCATGAAAAGTGTCATGATCAGTCTGTGAACAGTCCTTTTTATGTACAGCAGGGACAGCATTAAAAAAATCCAAATTTTCCTCCACACTAAAGCATATTGAAGGGAGGCATGAACATGTAATTTGACATGTAAAATAGAATATTGACTCTGAGGGGGTATGGATCTGTACATTCCATTGACAAGAATGATATCACTGGATCACTTTCTAATTATAGCTAATATCTTTCGTTGTGCCTCAGAATCATGGGATAATTTTGAAAGTATTCTGATTTTATATCTTATCTTTGCAGTAGATGAATTGGAGGAAAACACAATAGAGGACTCTACACTTCTCCATTGTGTATAGGAACCTGTATAAAATTGTTCAAGACACACATTTCTTCCAGTACTCTGGGAAGTCTATTCAGCTATAGGACTTGACCCTTCTCCCACAGAAGCTAATAGGAGATTTGGCCATACCCTTCAACTAGAGCCAGATCAAGTCCTTAAAGAGCACTGTTAAAACAATGCTTTTGAACAGCAGTCTTGTGCATTGTCTGATAGTTGCTATGTATTTGAAAAACATTGTTTGTTTCAGTATTCTTTGATGTTCTCAATGCCCTCCTCAACAATGCACTATTGATGCCTAGTCTCTAGGCTCATTATTATTTGTCTAACCACAAGAAATCACCATATATATGATACGATTCAAAGTAAAAATACAATGTAATTAAAGCATTTGAGGCCAAATTCTACCTTCACTTTCATCCATACAATCTCACTATAGGCAGTACAGCTTCATGGTGTTAACTGAGGGAAGATATTGAACCTACATGTTGAAATTCTGTATGTATCTAAATCTGAAGGCCTGTATGTGATGGATTATATCATTGTGAAACACTAGGCAATGTTTGCCCTTAGCTTTGAGTACTTTATCATAAGTATACCTGGACTGTGGAGTTTGCACAGTTCTATTTCCAGGGTTCCCAGCCAGGACCCCCACTACAGATTCTATAGTTTGCCAGATTGCAATGTATAGAGCTCTTTGATAGACCTTGTACTAGAGATGGAGATCTAGTGGGAAGGTGCAATTTTGAAAAGTGCCTAACAGCTGCTGATTTCCTTTGGGACTTGGACTCCAAAGTGACGTATGAAAATGGAGCTTATGCTCCTCAATCATTTTTAAAAACATTTCAAAGTTTTACTGCTTTAACTTAAATGGATTTAGACAGGTTCAAGAATCTGAATGTGTATAAGGATTGTCTCTTTAGAATATGTAATATATTAAAATGAGAATAATAAATATAGTTTTAATTTGCAGAATATGTAAAATGAGAGCAATGTTTGCAAAGGGTTGACTGTACGAAAGCCTAAAATCACTAAGGTCATTGATGGCTAGTTTGCTCCTGTGTCTATTTCAAAATCAAAGAAGAGAAGTCAAGTTCACCCTTATTAGTATTGTGCTTAATTTGGCCGTCATCATCATGTATTCTTTTATAATGTCACCGTCACATTTTCTACAGGTACTGTTTCCTTTTATACAGGCTCCTGTACTACTTTTGTTTTTCTCCTCTCAGTTTTTCATGATGGTAGAAGAGTTATTAACTATCACACTATGGAAAAGAAAGCAATGACCTTCTTATAACCATTTTAAGCTGTAGAATTTAATAGAGAATTATATCCCTATTAAATAATTTATATAGGATGGTTCAAAAACACATGGAAAGGATTTTACTTGGTAGTCAATTTAGTTTTGTAGATTTATAATTTCTAGAGAAGCCTATTTTAATCTATATTAAATTATATAGCGCTTACCCATTGCTCTGATGTCAAGGTTTTCAAGAAATATATATCCTCAGTAATTTATGGATGAGAACACAATAGCAGTTATTGTCTACTTGATCCATTCCCTTATTAGTTTCTTACCACAGAGGGGAACTACAGTATTAGGCACTATATGTTTGATTTCTACAGTTCTTCTTAGAGCAAGTTTATTCTGGTTTTGTATGCCATTTTGCAACATTATTGCACTATTATTATTTTATGCAATGAAGTCTGATAGCTTTAGTGTATCTGACCATTCTGAATACCTTATCCTTTCTTGTTGCCAATATTTCTGATATGTAAAAGTGTTAATTTGTAACTGTACAGTGAAATACTACATATGTATAACCAGTTGCTGAACAAGAAGCCTCTTTAGTTTTACATAATGCATTTGTTTTGATATTTCTGGGTACTCACACAAAATCTTAATTAAAGCTCATATCTTATGCCTTTTCTTATGCATCAATTTTTTTGGTGTTTTAAGGTGAATTTTATGCTAATGTAAATAAGGAAATAAAAGCATTGGTTTAAAGCAGATGTGCTACTTTGCTGCAGCACAGCAGTCCTAGTCTAGCGAATCTCTGCTGATTTATGTCTTGAGGCCTTAGCCAATTGTGCCAGAATTCAGTGCTGTAACAAGGTATTTTTGCGCCAGGACAAAATATTAATTTTGCACCCTCTCTCCTTAGGTTAGCATGTGTCACGCTCTTTACTTTTTCTGCTTATTATTTTTACTTATTGCATCTTTGCACCCCTGATTACGACGCACCCAGGGCAAGCACCCAGCTTGCGGAGCTCTTGTTACGGACCTGCCAGAATTCTTCTTGCTTCGAGATATGGGCAAGTATCTGCTTTGATTTAGACTGAGGTCATCATGAATCTTTTCAATTCTAATTAAATCACAGATTTCTAAAAAAAAAAAAATCTTTTTATTCTAACTACTGTGCAACAGATTGCAGCCAGTTGGTTGTCCAAAAGTATAAGTTCTTTATTGTGAATGTTACGGGATTAAATACAGACTAGTCTATGTAAGAATTTGAGATTAAATGTGCTTTATTTTTATTCAGATACAAGTTGTGATGCCCATTTGAAATTCTATTAAAGATTACATTAATTTTTAACAAGTTGTCTGCCTACTTATTCTAACCAAAGAAATTCTGCTAGACTGACATCATTCAACAAGGATGTGATCAGGCTCATACCGATATTGGTAGGTCAGGAGCAATTGCCATTGTCTTCAACAGAAATAGACCCATGTGTAGTGAACTCTGTATGGATCTGTGTCAGTAATGAGCCCCATGAATGACACTGTTGCTTTGAATAAATGCAGGGATTTTTCAATGCAGAGTTTATTGTGGGACTGGGGCCGAAGCTGGCAACAAGGGAACACAGTTCAATCCTTACACAGTACTGGAATGTTTTATGGAATAATAATTGAGTAAATGTCAGCTGATTTTTCAGATTTCCCATGCTTTAAAAAAAGGGGAAATTACAACAGTCTGAAAGCAGTCCTTAGTTTTGAAAGTAATTAAAACTTCAATTAAAGTTGAAATGTCATGGAGGAAAAATCAATGCATCTACCGGATCAGTTCAAAGTGTTTGAAAATACAGTGTTGTTTTAAAAACAATAATATATTGCCTGGACCATTAACTGGGATAGTTAACAACTTACTGAAAACATACTTACCACCAGATGGCAGTAGGTGATTAGACAAACTCAAGTGTATGTCAAAATTATTTCTTTCATTTTCATTCTATGTGAATAAATTTTGCGGGGCTGTTTTATTTTTGTCCGATAGAAGAAGATTAATAATAAAGTAATTAAATTATTATGCTTAATCCTTTCCCCATATGTTTTTTAGTTGTGTTCTTATCCTTAACACATAACTTATGCTTATAAATTTGTTTCTCATAACAGAAAGAAACATTCCAAGAGTGGGAGATGGGTTCATAGTTTTCTCTTTTCTAAAATTATTTTTTCTCAAACCCAAGGGAACCATTGTCTTTACAGTATTTTTCTATATGTCTAATGCCAAAATGTCTGCCTTTTGGATTCACTCCCTATCTGCCTAAATATTCCTCAGTGCTAGTACTTTGGTAAGTAAACAGTGGTAATCTTTAAGGTCAATGAGGACTTTAGCAGACTGTAATCTTTGAATTTGTTGCTGTTCATTTTCTAATAATAACCCCTTCACAGTACTGTATGTGTGCTAAAGTGCATGTTCTGCAAATCATTCCTCTCTTGTTTTGTGTACTCATCATTGTGATTTTGTTCTCTATGTTGTACTGCTTTGATACTAGTATGAACAAAATAGTATAATGATTACTTCAACATGTAGGACAGAGGCCTAATTGAACAACTAGAGTTTTGAGTAACCTAGAGATGAGCACATGTAATCAAAGTCAATTGTTAACCTGTGTCATCAACACATCATTGAATTCCAACTTGTTACCATACTGTTCAGATCTAGAACAGTCAAAAAAGCTTTTCCTTACTGCTGCGTTTGATCATCTTGTTATCAGCAATGGATACTGTGTGGGGACAAGAACTTAAAATGTGGAGATTTTATGAAACTGATGTAAATAATCTCATTTTTACAAAGACTGGGTTCCGATTTCATGAGTTAGGACACGTGATTGGCAGGATCTCTGTACCATTATGTAAACTTCCATATGAGTTCACAACCTGCTTTAAAAGTAATTCACAGCCCTACAACTTTTGGGTCTGAGGCCAGTGATTAAGTATTTTCTGGAGAGCTGTATTCATTTCAGAAAGTGCAATTCTAAGTATCTGTATTTGGAATATTCTGAACAAACAACATTTTCCTTGTGTCATATGTCACTTTTCCCCTTTACAACCGAGGGTGCATCAAGGGAGGGAGAATGTGATTGAATATATGAGGCAATTGTATAGGATAAAATGATTCACTTACTGTTTCATGGTAGTAAACCCCCAGAACTCTCAGCTGATGCATAACCAGGTTAAGTTATGTAGCATATCAATATATATCCTTTATGTGACAATTTTTTCTAACCGTTATTGAAAACTCAATACAGCTGTTATTACCTGCATTGAACACAGATATACAGACTGAAATAGGAAAGCTTCATCAATATAAATAAATCAGTTTCACTGCATCGCCTACATTTATTCCCATTAAAAAAAAATTGTGTGGATATCTTTTTGGCAAGCCCTACATCCTGTGCTGTAGGTCTTTGAACAGGTTACTTATAAAGTTGCATTTCATTGAAGTTGCTCTGACAAAGCCATTCTTAAATATCTTGTCTGAATGTCTTTCCCAAAGTGCACAGCCTGAGAAGTAGCTGGGTTCCATAGAGTGTTTAAAAAAGTTAGTCTCTTTTTGTTATGGGGACAGAGTGAAATGCTTCAAAACAGGACCACAGTATAACTGATGCAGTGATGCCCACCTGAATTTGCCAAAAACTTGAAGCAATGGCTTTGGCATCTGAATGCTGCATTCATTTAATGTGGGGTTAACTTCCATGTTAATAAGGAAATGATAAATGTCACTACTGTTAACTGTTTCACTGCTCACCCAGGCATGTAAGAAAGTGAAGTCCAGAAGAGATCTGTTCTTTCCCAATACTCTTCAGATGACACAAAAAATGGGTGGTGTGATAAATACTAAGGTCAGGTCTGGTCTACAGAGCGATCCGAAGGGATTGGTAAATTGGGCTGACAAACAACCTGTGTTTTCATAGTGCCGAAAGCAAGGCCAGACATCTAAGCACATCGAATGTAGCCCAGCCTTTTTGGATAGAGACTGTATTTTTGGGAAGGAGTGATTGTGGAAGAGCCATTGGTGGATGTCGAACTGAGACATGAGCTCCCAGTGCATTGTAGTAGCTAAGTGAACAAACACAATCCTTGGAGATAGAAACGGGAATATCAAATAAAGCAGAAAAGTGGTGTTAACAACACTATATATGGCATTAGGGATACCATTACTAGCACATTGTGTCCAGTTCTGGTATCTGTTCTTTAAAAAGGGTATTAAACTAATTGAACACAAGTCAAGGAAAAGCGACAAGAATGATTTGAGGTCTAAAGGATCTGCGTTGCAATGAGAGATGTAAAGAGCTCATTTAGTTTATTCAGAAGAGGTGTAACAGATGTCTTGCTCTATACAATCTATAAGCACTTACACAGGGAAAAGATGTTTTCTAGAGGAGGGCTCTTCAGTCTAGTAAACAAAGGCATAACAAGAGCTAATAGCTAGAAGATGTATTTAGACACATGCAGAATAGAAGTAAGTTGCAAATAACAATGTATGGCTTACAGTTCAGAACATGGACAGCAAAAAGCAAAGAGCCAATATAAGTCTCCAGAAGAAAAAACTAAATTGCAGCAAGTTCCTCACTAACTCAGTAAGTTCAGGATAGCAAGTAATAGTGTGGTACTTGCTATCCTGAACTTACTCACTTCTTGCATTTAAAGTGAAACACATAGAAAACAGATTCCTAACAACATAAATGATTATGTCTTACCTTCACACATAGGTGGGGGGGGATGATGTACATTGTCCAGTTTGCTGAGGAAGAGGGCATAGAGATTCATGGCTAAGAGGGGGAGTGGGCCTCTGAAGCTTCTGCAAAAGGAGGAGTGTGTCAGCATGGTGACACTGACTTGTCTTCAGAACTCAAAGGTCTGGGGTGTTCAAAAGAATCAAGGGCAGTAGGAAAATTCCCCTTTCCCTTGGATCAGATGGAGCAGCACCTACCCTCCTTCCATTGACGTGCCAAAACACCTGGTTTAGTCAGGACCTGCTGTGGGCATCTCATTAGTTGCTCTTTTCCAGGTAGGTTGGGAAGGAATTTTTCTCTCTCCACCAAATTGACATAGGTGGCATAGTTTTCCCCTCTTCACTACAGCAGATTTTGCGAGGGCTTTGTGACGGCAAGTGGGCAAGGAAGTTAGATTATGATGTCACAACTTGTTATGTAAGTGTGGGGCCATTCCAGGATGGGTATTCTCTATTCCCTAAATACATTATGTGGCAAATGACTTAAAAAGACAGTGTTGGACTAGGGGGGAGAATTCAAGACTCTTATGATTGGAATATCAGGAAGCCAACCTCCCTGTCTCATAGCCCACTTAACCTTTGTTTAGAGGTGATGGTAAAGTCCCAACAATGGGCTGGTTGGGGAACCTGGATGGAAAGGGGGGAGGGGACAGCTGTCAGAAGCCCACTGACTAGTTTTTGAATGAAGATGGAGTAACTTACACTGTACCCAGTTATGGTCATGGCACTCCCAGACATCTAATAATAAAGTTGTGGCCTAATTACAACCATATCCAGTGTCTCCTTGTCCTTCTTTCAGAATAGCTGCAAAACATAGTTTACATTGGTGGTCAGGTTTTAAATTCCTTTGATTAGTCACGTTATATAAATAAGGTACTATAATTATAAATGATTGAGTATGACACCAATGCCAGGGGAGCTTGATTGGGAAAATGGAAAGAATATAAATAGGTGAGTTGTAGCCAATACTAGAGATTATTTACAGGGCTGCTTACATGTTATCAGGAGTTCTATTATTTTGCGTGAAAATGCAGCCATATCTTACCAATGCACCACACAGTCCTTTTTATGCTGCGATTTAGGTTGTCACTGCACAGTTGTAGCTAAAATCCGCAGGGAAACCAATCACACTGTAGCAAAGCACGGACTACTCTCAAGTTGCAATGACCTTGGCTGAGGAAAAATTCAGCAGAGGAAAAGGGAATTCTGCTGGATGAATCCAAATGCTAATTCAAATCTCTACTGTGAGCACAGTAGGTCTCCTCAGAACCTACCATATTCCATTTTATCATTTCTCCAATGGCTTGTTTTCTCCTTGTTCCAAATTGAGGACCTGATGGTCACCTCCCCCCTCATTTGCTTCAGTGGCCACAGGAGAAGTACTACTTTACTTTTTCACTCAGTGTTTGTTGTACTTGGTTGGGGGAGAGGGCTGAAACAGCAGCTATTGCCTTTGGTTCATTTTTAACTTTGGACATTTAAATGTACAAAGTGCAAATGTTTCAACTGTTTAAAGCCTTACACGTGTTAAAAATGAAAGAACATTGTTACTGC